CCCCAGGGCCACAGTGCCTCCCTCACAGTCTCCCCCCAGCGGAGGGAGGCCCGCCTGAAAGGGGCTTTTTCAGTTCTTCATGGTACCAGGGAAGGAGTCCTGAGGGGACAGCAGACCTGTTAACTCGGGTGCGTGGGATCCGGGGTGGGAGAGGACACAGGCTCTGCTCCCGAAGCTCCCACCCAGGCTCCTGCTTGCCTCTGCTCCTTCGTAGCTGGGAGAGGACCCAGCTCTTTTTATCCGCATCTGGTCCAGACTTTCGGAAAGTCCATTCGGAAGTCTGCCCTCCATCCCTCTTCCTACAGCACAAGCCTCCCCCTCCTGCTAGGCCTCGGGGTTAGTCACCGGCTTCCGGAGACGTCATCCTCTAGCTCAGGTGGCAGAGGAGGGACAGCAGACCCAGACCTGGAGGTGGCCCTTCCCCCAGAAGCCAGGGTCAGATTCATAGCAGAGGGCTTCTTAGGCTGCCTTTTGTGTTTTAATTTTTTACAATCCTCATCCAGGGATGTGTTGTGTGTGTGTGTGTGTTTGAATTGATCTGAGAGAGAGAGGCAGGGAGAGAGAGAGATGTGAAAGAGAACCATCCACTGGTTGCCTCTGTGCGCAGCCTGACTGGGGATGGAACCTGCAGCGTACATGTGTGCCCTCACTGGGAATCCAAATTGCCACCTTTTGTGTTTGGGACGATGCTCCAGCCAACAAACAGAGCCACCCGGCGAGGCCAGGGCGTCTTAGGCTCTTGGCAGAGGAGAGACCCTGTCTGGGCTTGTTTGCATAGATATTTATGTATTTGTTTGCCTCCTTGTGGGCAAACTCAGTCTGCATGAGGTCAGGCTGGCTGGCATCCAGGTGTGACCACCCTGCATGTAAACAGCAGGAGAGGGAAGCCCAGAGGGAGTGGCCGCGAGGGAGGAGAATTGGCCCCGGCTGACCCTGAATCCCACTTGGGGGCATCTGTGCTGTGGTGCCTGCCTAACCGTGAGCAAAGGAGCTGAACAATGACCCCTCCCACCGCCCCCACATCTGGAGCCCTGCCCTCTCCACATGTGGATCCAGAAGCCGCAGAAGGTGGGGTGCAGGGGGACACGGGTAGGAGGAGGAAGAATATGGGGAGATTCTAGTCCCTCCCACTTAGAGATGCGGTCGCCATGGTGACTGAGGACCGGTGAGGTGGGATGGGGTTGGGGATGGGGGCGGGGGTGTGGCAGGACTGAGCTCTGGGAGCCGAGAGAGCCTGGCGTTCCAGGGGGAGGGAAACGCGGCAGCATCCCCAAGCGCCAGGTAAGGAAGCAGGAGAGCCGGCAGTTCTGAAAGGAGAGGATGGGCCATTGTCTGGAGCTGGCTCTGCCCCCGAGAAGGGGGCAGACAGAGGGGGTCCGGCCATTGTTTGCGATATTCAGCTCAGCCTTCCAGCACTAGGCAGGCTGGAGGAGGAATCCTAGGAGGCGCTGGGTAAGGGGTTGGCGGGATTGGGCTGGGCAGGTGGCAAGAACGCCGAGAGACAGCAAGGGTGGGGATCTGGGAGAGCAGAGGCTGGGGGCCGTCCCTAGTGCCTTCACACAGCAGGCACGGAATCAATACAAGTTGTTTTGACTCGCTTGTGACGATAGAAGGAGGGCAACGCGGGGCCAGAGCAGGTGGGCTACGGGAGGGGAGCCAGGACGCTGCTCTTCTCCAGGGCTCTGCTCTTCTGGGTCTGTCCCCTAGGCCGGAAGGGAGCGGGGGTAGGGGACACTGGACCTGCGGGGTGAAGCCCCGAGTGGCTTCTCTCCTGACACCAGGGCTTCCCCACAGTGAGGTATCCGTGCTCCCAGGGAGCCAAAGAGACAGAGCCCTGGGGTGAGCATGGGGTAGGGGTGAGGAGTGACACCGCCATTTCCCTTCCCACTACCACCCCCACATCTGGATGCTACCTGGGCCCGAAAGCCTGACAGGAAGGGGCCACTGTGTGATGTGGCCTAGGGGTTGCGGGGGAGGAGTCCCCGAAAGAGCTGGACCCTGGGGTCAGGGGGTGGGGTTGAACTCAGCATTGTGGTCTAGAGGGTCCCCAAGCGGGGCTCCAGGGCTAGGGGGGAAAGGAGCTGGGGAACCCCCACATCAGGGCTTTGAAATGGCATGGCCCCTTCAGTGTGTTCCCTGAACACCTGACCCCTCCACCACCGCCCACCTCAGCTGCTGCCTGACTGCAGCCCAGCCAGGACACTTCCTCTTCTTGGCCTTGGTTTGCTCATTTCTATAGTGAGGGGGCAGCTCAGAGCTTCCCTGATGCTGGAGGCAGGACCTGCCACACCATTCGTGGGATCCGGTGCAAACTAAAAATGTGGGGGCCCTTGTTCAGAAATGACCAAGACTTTCCAGAAGGCCACGTTAGAGGAAACGAGGGCCCTTCTGAGTGCGGGGCCCTGTCTGTGGGCTCTGCCAGCTGCAGCAAGAGAGATGGCAGTGACTCTGAGTCTGACTCCAGAGGTTCTGGTGCAAGAGGGTCAGTGGGCAGCGGTTTGGCTGAGTGGATAGAGCGTCGGCCTGCAGACTGAAGGGTTGCAGGCTCAATCCCCAGTGAGGGGTGTGCAGGAGGCGGCCAATTGATAATTCTCTCTCATCATTGTTTCTCTCTCTCCCTCTCCCTCTCCCTTCCTCTCTGACATCAGTAAAAGTATATTAACAACAACAACAAAAAGAGGGTCAGTGGTAGGGGCAGGTGGCCCTGCCTCTCCATCAGGCTCTTCCGTGGAGCTGGACCAGGAGGCCCTGTGGAGGCAGGAGGTCGTACCTGATGGCCTGTCTTCCCAGAGGTTTCAGGAATCACCCCAGAGATACTGTTTCTCAGCTCAGAGGAGCCAGAGCTTGTCACCTCCACCTACTTGCCTTCTTTATCCAAGAGGCTGAGCTTCCTGGACCAGGGCTCGAGTAGGACTCTACAGAGACAGCAGAGCTAAGGGATTAGCTTAGAATGAGGCCGATCTGAGTTTAACCTGACTTTTCGCTGTACAACCTCCCTGAATCAGCTCCCTCATCTATAAGATGGGGTCCTGGGGGGACCTATCTGCTAAAATTGTTGGGTAGGCCCCAGCCTGATTCATGTGGGCTGGAGGGGCTGGGGAAAGGCCTGGGGCTAGGAGGAGAATGCCTGGGATCTGGAGAAGAAGGGTAATTCCAGGGCATTAATCTACCACGTCCAGAGAGGCCAGAACAGGGCACCAGGCTGGGAGGGTGGGGCTGGACTTTCTACCCCCCTCACCCTTCCCCCCCAATAGAACTCCTCCCAGTGACCCAGATAAACCAATCTGTTCAAGCAGAGAGGCCCAGGGGCAGGGTAGGCTCCCAAATCTGAGCTGGGGTTGAGGAGACACAGAAGGTGGGGTCTGGGTGGGAGTGTCCCTTGATTCTGAGAATCAGGAGGACTTTCTCTGGGGGGCTCGGTCCACGGCTTCTCCCAAGGACCTGGCAACCAGCCTCCGTGAGAGCCCGAGGGAGTCGTAGGCAGGTCTTGACAGAAACCGTTGTCAGGAGGGGTCTGCCTAAGACCAACCCTCGGGAAAATAGAGAGGAAATGGGAGCAGAGGGAGAAGGAAAGAAGGCTGAGCAGCCTTGGACCAGGAATTCTTCTTCTAAGGATTGTACCGGCTGTACCATCGCCCTGCAGGCTGGTGCTGTGGCGAGGGGGATGGAAGTGCGGATACAGGAAGGACTTCCTGACAGTGAGGAATGTGCACTTAAGAAGGAGAGGGGTTATTTATTGGAGTCGATGTGCCCTGGGATGGCTGTGCTCTTTATAACCAGCAGTCAGCTGTCTCGGGCTGAGTGGGCAGGAAACTACCCCCTTTGAAGGTCACGGAGCTCTGGGTGCTGGATGCCTCATTAGCCCTGCGTTACGAGGTTCCCCTGGAGCCCCGGGGGAGAAGTGAGCAGCCACTATAGGGGTTGGGTGCCTCCACAGCATGTTTGAAAAGTATGAACTCAGATGGGAAATTTTCTGGGCTTCCCACTTGCCCTGATGCTGCCCTAAGAGAGATGGAGATTAGACTACGGGAGGGATTTCTTAGCAAAGCCACGAATAAGGCGGAGTGCGATTGCTTTATTTTTATAAGGTCATGGCTCTGCTGGAAGTGGGAGTTAGAAATTTAGAGCAGCGGTCGCCAACTGCTGATCCGCAGACCACTGGTGGTCTGTGAGGTCCGAAAGGTTGGTGACCGCTGGTTTAGACCGCTGCAGGGACTTCCAAGCAGGTAGGAGTGGAAAGACCCAGCCAGCGCCGTGGGTAGTTGAAAAAGGAATATGGAAGATAGCGTCATGACTCCTGTCTGGGAAATCTTGAGTAAGAGGAGAAATCCCTGCTCAGCTGATTAGACTAGATGTGATGTGATAGAGGAACGAGAAATGATCCAAAAACTTTCTGGCCCTAGCCGGTTTGGCTCACTGGATAGAGCGTCGGCCTGGGGACTGAAGAGTCCCGGGTTCTATTCCGGTCAAGGGCATGTACCTTGGTTGCAGGCACATCCCCAGTAGGGAGTGTGCAGGAGGCAGCTGATCGATGCTTCGCTCTCATCGATGTTTCTGACTCTCTATCCCTCTCCCTTCCTCTCTGTAAAAAATCAATAAAATATATTTTAAAAATAAATAAATATAAACTTTCTGGCCTTTTTTAAAAAAAATATTTACCCAAAGGATATTTTTCCCATTGACTTCTATAAGAGAGGGGGAGAGACACAGAGAGAGAGACATCGATGTGAGAGAGACACATTGATTGGTTGCCTCCCGCATGTGCCCCAACCAGGGCTGGTGATTGAGCCTGCAACCGAGGTACATGCCCTTGATCTGAATCAAACCGGGGACCCTTCATTGGCTCTATCCATTGAGCCAAACTGGCCAGGGCTGGCCTTTTTTTTAAGGGGAGAGGACTGGCCTTTTAAAAAAATTTATATATAGTTGATGCTCAACCACTGAGCCACTCTGGGAGGGCCTTCTGGCCTTTTACTGGTAAACTTTCTGGATAGACAGAGGCGAGAGGAGCGGGGAAGAGAGAGGTGTGTCTCCCTTTATATTCTCCTCCCAACTTCCGCCAAGCCCGGGATCTGTCACAACTCGAGAGGTAGAAATTCTGGTTTCCCTCGCCCAGAGCTCCCAGTGCTGGCTTTGGCACGATGGGTACCTGGCGGGTCTCACTCTTGGCCCAGCCGGGCTGAGCCGCTGTCCCCTGCCGCTGGGGCCCCCACTCACCTTCTTTCTTCTGGATGGCACCTCCACCCGAGAGTCCAGACGCCTGGGTTCTACACTGTGGCTGGCTCAAGGGTACGTGAGATGGGACGGGTGGCTGGGGTCGGCGGACCTGAGGAGAAGTTTATGCAGAGACCCGGGGAGACAGACAGCAACAGCACAGAGTCCAGGGGTGGTGGGCAGCTGCAGAGGCCGGGAGACACAGCCACTTCCTGCCCTGGGCCACTTCCCTGGCAATGCTGTGAGCCAGCCTGGGGGCTGTACGTACTCTCATTGCCACCCTGCAAGACGAGGGCCAGGTAAGCCTGAACATCAAAGACCTGAGCCCGGCTGGCCGGGAGGGACAAGGTCAGAGCCGCTGGTTGAGACGTAGTCCCCCCGCTTGGGTCGTCAGAGCACAGGGGTAAGTGTGAGAGACGGGTACTCACAGATCTGAGAGAGCCGGGAGAGTCAGGTCTGAGGAATTCATATTTGAGCATAGGAATCTGTTCCCCCCCAAATTCCCCTGCCTGGGGCCAGGCAATGGTGTGGGCTCTGGGCTATGGCAGGAAGGCAGGCAGAGAGTAGCTAGCAAGGACTTCTCTGAGAGTAAGCCGAGAAAAGGCAGAGCGGGGCTATTGGTGAAAAGAGATCAGAAGAACAGGATGGGGAACAACTCCCTCCCTCCCAGAGGGGAGAGCAGGACTGCAGGCTGAGGCCTGTGAGGGTGATGGAAGTGAGACTACAACACGGCCTTCTGAACAGGAAACTTTGTCATCCCTGCCCTACACACTTCTGCTGCCTGAGGCTCTCTGATTGGTCTCAGTGGGGGCGGGGGTGGGGAGGGTGGCGGAAGGGGGGGGATGTGGTGAGGACTGCTTACCCAGAGAGTGCCCCTGTGTCTGTTTCCCCAGAGCCATCTGGTGACAGCCTCTGGCTGAGCATGGCCCTTCCAGCCCTGGGCCTGGACCCATGGAGCCTCATCGGCCTTTTCCTCTTCCAACTGCTGCTGCTGCTGCTGCCAACCACGACCACAGGGGGTGGTGGGCAGGAGCCCATTCCCAGGGTCCGATACTATGCAGGTAAGTGTTTGATGTCCGGGAAGTGTGGGGATGGCAACAGCGAGCTGGAGGGCGTGGAGGAAGGCGAGATGAATGGGGGAGGGGAAGAAACACGGAGAAACAGAGAGATGTCCAGGGAGAGACTGAGAGCCAGAAATAGAGGTTCCGACTGAGTCAGAAGTGAGAGATGAAACCACTTCGGGTGAAGAGCGAGGAAAGAGAGACGAGGGGCCAGGTGGCCAGGTGGCCAGGGCGTCACTCCTTCAGGTTCTCCAAAACTGGTAGTTTTCCCTCCCCTCCTTAAATATCGCCGTCCTCAAGCAGGCACTTCAAACCAAAACTGCTTTCCTGCCCTCAGTTCCCCCCAAAGCCAAGGCCCACGTAGAAGATGGTCTGTGGACCTGGTAACTCAGGCTATTGCAGGCCAACCACACCGTTCAGGCTGGACCATGGCAAGTCTAGTACCATGGGCCCCAGGGATACGAGAATTGAGGGTGGCCCAGCTGCGGGCCAGGCCCTGGAGCCCTGGAGGCACAGCCTGGCTGCTTTCTTATTGAGGCTGTGGGGCTGCTGGTACTCTCGCCTCCAGGGAGAAGATCCAGGAAAGGACATGGGCCTGTAGGAGTAGTGGGGGCAGGGAGTCCTGGGCACTTAGCATCTTTCTGGGGCAATGTCTAAGCAGTGTTTCTCAACCTTCTGGCCCTTTAAATACAGTTCCTCATGTTGTGACCCAACCATACAATTATTTTTGTTGCTACTTCATAACTGTCATGTTGCTACTGTGATGAATCGTAATGTAAATATCTGATATGCAGGATGGTCTTAGGCGACCCCTGTGAAAGGGTCGTTCGACCGCCAAAGGGGTCGCGACCCACAGGTTGAGAACTGCTGGTCTAAAGGAAATGCATGTTGCCCATTGATGGCGAGGCCTCCTCTGTGTTGGGTGCAGCATAAACAAGACTCAAGGTGCTCATAGTCCCGAAGGGAAGCAAACAAGCAGTTATGATCAGTTCTGTAAGGGGTGGGTTTAATGTAAGTCTGATGGAGGCCGGCCCTGGCCACACACTACTCCCCAACTCCTCCTAATGGTCCTGTCTCAGACTCTGCGCCTTCAAAGGTAACAATTAGCTAGTCAGTCCTCTAACTAATGCAAAAGTGTGAATGTGTCCATAAGAGAGGATTTGAGGAGCTGATGGCCAGCGGGACAGGAACACACAGACCCCCATCTACTCCAAGGTGAGAGGGAGGACCTAGTAGCGCCAGCCAGGCTCACCTCCCCTGTCCAGGTGACATCCGGGCATGCCCATGGGCCTTTGAAGAGAGATGCTTTCTTTCTGTTCAGCCTAAGGCAGTCATTCTTGCGGTGGAAATTTCTTGCAAAAGGAGGGTAAGGGCCTGGCTGTGGTGGCTCAGTGGATTGAGCGTTGTCCCATAGACCAAGAGGTCCCGGGTTCAATTCCCAGTCAAGGCACATGCCCGGGTTGCAGGCTCAATCCCCAACAAGGGGCAAGCCAGAGGCAGCCAATTAATGATTGTCTCACATTGTTGTTTCTATCTCTCCCTTCATCTCGGAAATCAATAAAAAATATTAAAAAAAAAAAAGGAGGGTAAGGAAGTGGGGTTGGTGAGTGGAACCCTACAACCCACAACTACTTTGACACAGGCCTGTCTGTGTCTAACTTTCCCGCTTGTGGCTGCCAACACCTCCTACAGTTTATCTGCCTTCTGCTCCCCCTGCCAGGCCTGGGAGAGCATCCGTCATGCCTCACTTTACTTCCTGTCCCTTTGCCTGTCTCTTGGGTGTGGGCCACCCTCCCAGGTTGTCATTACTGGTCTCTGGCTGCCTCCCCTCTCTACTGTGGGCTCTACATACAAAGTTCCTATGGCTGCCAGTGGAGTGGGTGAAGGGGGAGCTGCCGATGAAGAAAGGGTCCAGCTGCCAAGGCCTGAGGAGCACACTCTACCCGCCCTTTCCCTCCCCCCACCTGTATCTCAGTAATCAGTTGCTGGCCTGCCAGCTGCTCCTCACTCACCACCCTTCTCCTCACCTCCTAACAGGGGATGGACGCAGGGTCCTTAGCCTCTTCCACCAGAAGAACCTCCAGGACTTTGACACTCTGCTCTTGAGTGCTGATGGAGGCACTCTCTACGTGGGGGCCCGAGAGGCCATTCTGGCCTTGAATATCCAGGATCCGGGTGTGCCCAGGCTGACGAACATGGTGAGGAGGCCAGGGATAAAGGGTGCGGGCTGGGAGTGAGGAGGGGGCTGGCAGATGCCCCGTGCCTGCGCTGCCTATGGGGGAATAATCGCCCAGTTTCTGTCATCTATACAGTTGACCTTTGAACAAGATGGGTTTGAACTATGCGGGTCCACTTTTATACAGATTTTTCCCCCCAATAATTGTACAGTTGGCCCTCTGTATCCTCAGATTTCCCATCCGAGAATTTAACCAGCGTTTTCAATCTGCAGTTGGGAATCCATGGATGTTCTACCCCATTTTATATAAGGGACTTCTATGTAGGGGTCTGGAACCTATCCCCCATGGATACTGAGAGGCTCTGTAGTTAAGTTTTGGGGGAGTCAAAGCTTATATAAGGACTTCTCACTGTGCGAGGGGTGGTAGCTCCTAACCCTCGTGTTGTTTGAGGGTCAACTGTATCCAGTAATAATCAGCAACTCTTGTTATGTGTATCTGGTCGGTAAACAGGCAAGAAACACTATCGTGGCCTCACTATTCATTGGTATTCTGATTACTGGTTGAATAATATTAATTGCTAAAATGGCTGAGTTGGAAATCTTTGACACAGGAGAGGAACATTGACTCAAATTGAATCAATAATGTGATATCTACCCACTGGTAGAAATCACCGAAGCTTCTGTGTTAATTGTTGCTGTTTTTGTTTTTAGAGTATGTTTATTGAAGCTGGGGATAGTGAGACTGAGGATAGAAAAAGCAACAGGGCAGAGCCTAGGCCAGGCTACTTTAGCTCATTGGACACTCAGTTCGGGACAAGCTGCTGCTGCCCCTTGCTCCCCTGGTTGCAAGTCTCCTGGGGGACCTTAGAGTTTAGGAGATGCACGCCTGAGAGGGAAGAGAGGCGTGGGCGTGTCCCACGGGGAGGGAGAGCAGGCCTATGTTAAATTTTAGCCACCCTGTTAATGGCAATGATGTGAGGGAGAAAAGGAGAAGGAAGGAAAAAGGGGAGGGAGGGAGCTAGCAAGGATGGAGCACCTCCACGGTTTGTGTTTCTCAATGTGGTCTGGAGGCCACCTGCACGTATGGGTTACCAGTTAAAAAGGCACATTTCCTGGGGTGTGACTTAGGAACTGACATTTAAACCGTTTTCCTGGGAAATGTGTGGTTTGACAACTGCTGCTCTGTGCACCATGCCGTCCTTACGTGCTTTGCATATACTGCCTACTGGTGCCCTCCAGAAGCCTGTGAAACTGACCTAGATCGCTCAGCCAGGAAATGGCTGAACCTAGATCCAAACTCAGGTCTAGCGTGGAGCACTATCCTAATGACTAGCAGGATCGTCAGAGTGATAGTTCAGGTCACCAACTGATGTTATTATAGTCCCTCAGCAGGTCACTAATCGCTGCTGGTGATTCACACCAGATCCAAGGAGGGGATGGCAAGTCAAAGCTAGAGTTGAACACCTCATATCCCTTCATCTCCCCCCTTCCAACTCCGCATTTCAGATATCCTGGCCAGCCAGTGACAAAAAAAAGAGTGATTGTGCCTTTAAGAAGAAGAGCAATGAGGTAAGCAGAGGTGGGGGTATAGGGGCTCTGAGTAGAGGACCCTGAGGTGGGGCAGGGGGCAGAGGCAGCTTGTTCGTATGATTATTGCCTTCATCACGTTCTATGAAGACATACACAGACTGCCTCCCCACTGCCCAGCCCTTCTTCCCACTAGGAAGTGAGGGAGCATTGGAGTTTGGGGGCCCAGGAGTTTGGGGCAAATGTGCTGGAGGCCTGAATTCTCTATCTCCTCCAGACCCAGTGTTTCAACTTCATTCGTGTCCTGGTCTCTTTCAACGCCACCCACCTCTACGCCTGCGGCACCTTCGCCTTCAGCCCTGCCTGTACCTTCATTGTGAGTTACCTGGCACCCCGCTCTCAGGCCCCAAGCCTCCCTCCTCACATCTACTCCCAGCCCATCCTCTGCAGCTCTGGAAACCTCCTGAGCTTCTGGCCCCAGACCAATGTCCCTCTATGTCCCTTTACCTTCCTCCCTCACACCCCTCATTTTCCAGATATGAGACTCTGGCATTCTAGTCTCCCATCCTCTGCCCGCTTCTAGGAACTCCAAAATTCCTATCTGTTGCCCATCTCGGAGGACAAGGTTGTGGAGGGGAAAGGGCAAAGCCCTTTTGATCCTGCCCATAAGCACACGGCTGTCTTGGTAGGTGAGTATCAGGTTCCCTGGTCCATCCCAACATCTGCTTTCCCAAGTCACTCTGTGACATATGGAATCTGAGTTTCCTGAAAGGCAGGGGACAGAGGGAGGGCAAGTCAGGAGCCTCAGAGCACAAGATTGGAGGGGAAACTGGACACCCCAACCACCAGCT